CCTTGAATTGCTGTGGAAGCTTTTCATCTTGCACTCATTAGGACAGGTGCAGGAATACCAAATTTCAAAGGGAGCCACAGTTTTTCTGCATGACAAACACAATGTTGATTGGCAACTAAACTCTCACAATCCGTTAACCAAGGAGAATGTACCAGTGAACAGTCAAAGTTCAGAAAGACAGTCAACTCTTGACAGATGAAGATATACCATGGGAATGCATGAAAAGATATTGTCCTCCAACCATTTGTTTCCATGAAAAGGTGCAGTGCCTCGATAATGTTCCTTTTGGTTGCAGATGAGTGGGTCCAATGTTCCCTTTAAGTTGTGCAGCCACTGGAAAGCTTTGTGCAAGTCTTTTGGCATGCTAGTGCAAGGCTTCTGCTTCAGAAAGCTTCTGCCATGCATGTGTTTTGAAGGCTGACTGGGTCCTAGTATGCAAACATGCTCTAGCAATGTTGTGAGCCTAGTTGATACTAAATTGGTTGTTATCTAATTATTGGCTCTCTTGACATCATTGAGAAACTACTGCCCAGTCATTGAATTAAATCTAATGTTGGACATGTACTTCTGAGTTTTGCAAGTTGGATACAGACAGTACCCTATAAAAACCAAAAGAACTGCAGGTGCTGTAAATCAGGGACAAAAACAAAGTTGCTGGAAAAGCTTCAGCAGGTCTGGCAGCATCTGTGAAGGAGAAAACAGTTAACGTTTCGGGTCCGGTGACCCTTCCTCCGTACCCTGCTTGTTAATGCCAAAATGACTTTGATACAGTCCATCAGTTCAAGGAACATATGGTGTATGTAAATGGCACTGCATCAGCATTAAAATTCATACGCCCCCTTATTCATAGGCTGAACAACTTTATGGCTTGACAGCCGCATTCTCTTGCGGGGGGGAAAATTACGTATTGCTACTGCTTAGTTTTTAAATTTTTTATTATTTAATCTACTTTTCTAGTTGACCTGTTCAGGTATGTTGTTACCCACCTCTGGAGCAATTGAACCCAAGCTGCCTGGTCTGGGGTAGGGACACAATGACTGTACAACAAGAGGGCCCATAATCAGATCAGCTTTCAGTTCTGTTACAAAAACTTTCCCAACTTTCTAGTCTATTCATGAATTCATAGCAGAAGATGGTTTTAATACATCTACTTACAGGTTATGGGACCAGCATGCTCCTGCTGTGCCACTCTGCTGACCTTTTGCTACTGCTTTTTTTTTTTTTTTTTTGAAACCTATTTTTCTAATCAACCTGTTCAGAGATGTTATTACATACTTCTGGAGCAGGTGGGACTTGAAGCCAAGCCTTAGTCTTTAGGTAGGGATACTACCACTGTACCACAAGAGGGCCCTTTAGAAAGCTGATGGATTGGAAACTATGGAGGCTGTGTCCCTGGGTGGTCTCGAACCACCAACCGTTCGGTTAACAGCTAAACGCTCTGACCAATTGTGCCGGAGAGACTGTGTTTCTTTTTCTTTTTAACGTGGGCCTCCCAGCCCAGAAGTAGGGACACAAACACTGTGCCACAAGGGAGCTCATAATCAGATCAGCTTTCAGTTCCCTTAAGAAAACATTTCCCACTTTGCAATCTATTCAAAAATTGATGAGCAGAGGATGGTTTTGATGCATCCACTTCTGGGTTATGGGCTCAGCACGCTCACAGCACTGTTGTGTCACTCTGCCATCCTTCTGCTACTGCTTAATAGCTGCATGAAATGATTAACTTCACCTGTTGCTCAAATCTTCAAGGTAGTTGTTTCTTCTGGATAATTGCTGGTGGACAATTGACAGAAAGTGGCAGCTTTAACCCTGTTCATAAAGTTTGACAATGTGTCTCTCTTTAGTCATACTTCTGACCATTGTTCCCTTTTTAATGTCCTTTTACTCTGCATTGCCATTTGTTGCATCGAAAAAATCCTTGAAGGAAAAATCAAGGAAAGTCTATAGATGCTAGAATTTTCAATCAACATTTAATGTCACACAAAGTTACTACTGAAGATCTCATTGTGTTGGAGTGATTGGTTAACTGATTAAATTTTAGTTTCTGGTTGCCTAACTAACAGATTTAATACTGCAGGGATCAGTGCGATCTGTACAGGGTTTGGGGCTTGCTGTATTGAGGCCTAATATTCTGGTGATACAAAGATTAGTTGGGAAGAAAGGTATGAAAATGATAGAGCCTGCAAAGAGATTTAAAGATGTTAGGTGAGATAAAATTTGGTGAATGGAGTATAATTAGAGGTCTTCGCTTCGACAGGGAGAATAATAAAGCAGGATATTTTTTGAATGGAGATGCCGAATGCTATGGTAAAGACGGCCTTGAATTTCCTGCGAGTGGGATGGAATATTAAAGTAGATTAGACTTGCTACAGCTTTATGGGGCATGGGTGAGACCACACCTCGAGTATTGTGCACAGTTTGGAACTCATTGCTTCAGGAGGAATTGAAAGTAGTTTAGTAAAAGTTGACAAGACTGTCTCCAACAGATACAAGTGTTGCCTGTCCAACCTTTCCTTGGAAAAATATCTGTCCAGTCCAGGTCTCGGACCAGTAAATCTTCTCTGAACTGAATATTCTCTGCACACCTTTTTAATGTTGCTGCTTTTTTTTTCTGCAGTCCTCCAATGGTGTTTTTTGATTCTGGATTCTTGTTACTTTTCAATACAAACCAGTAGTTGTACTGGTGAAGCTATTCCACCACTTAGATTTATGAAAAATAGTTTAAGCTGCGTGCATTTACTTGGAAAATGCAGTTGGATGTTGTGTTCCAATCTGGCTGTAAGTCCGAGTCAAAACCTTGTCCCAAAGAGCTGCTACTGCATTTTGAGAGTTGGTCGTTTCTCTGTGTGGAAGTTAGATGTTGAAGAATTGGGTACTCTGAGCTTCAATAACAGTAAAAATTATTCGCTCAGCACGTGGAGCCCTATATTTGTTTGAAAGCTGAGTTACTGTTGCACCTAGATGCACATCAGAGTGAGGTCGGCGTGTATTTTTGACAAACGTATATTAACTCTATATTTTGATCGGGTACTTAACTTTGGTCACTAGCTGTGACCAGTCAACAGCATCCAATTACAATTATGAGGTAACAGGTTTACTGTTTGCTAGAGATTTTGAAGCTGCTTGCTGAATGTGCAGCTGGTGAGGTTAGGCTCTCCAGGTTTAAACCGGCCTGCTGTGGACTCGAATAGAACAACACATCATTTAAAAATACAAAAATATTCAAATAATTTATCTTTGATTTATTCAAGGCTTGCCTATACACCGTTTGATACTGCAGGATGTTGAGCACCCAAAAGTCAAGATGTTCCTTGATGGTTGCTGATTTTGTTCACGCTGTTAGCGTGCAACTGATGTCACACTTGCATATTTATCTTTGCAGCTTTCTCATTGTACTTTTTGTTTTAATTGGCTTCAGTATGAATCCATTACTCCACTAATGCCTGTGGCGGAGCCATTAGATCCGACATCTTGGCGTCAGGGGTTGCGCAAAACTGGCATTGTTCTTGTGCCTCAAAAGGGTGAAAAAGTTATGGTGAGCTGCCTTTTGTGTGCACAGAGGTTTGTGTTTTGTGTTAAGTTACCTGTTTATCAGAAGTATCTGGTTTCACGGTGCATGTTGTGATGACACTCATTTTTACGTGTTTTTAAACAAATAGTTGTGAAACCTGAACTTTTGAGTAAAAATACAGAATTTGTGTGGTTTGTTTGCACATAGTTTCTCACATCTGTTTTGTTGCTTTGTATTAATATGCCCTCAAAGTGCATGAACAACTATTATGTAAATATAGAATAATCCATGGCATTCTAGTTTAACAGTAGTGGTTTCTTCTCACCGCTGTTCCCATCTCAACGCACTCCTAATTCTTGGGGACCAGAGGCATTGTACACAAGCAAAAACAATTCATGGTGTGACTTATTGACCATTATTGTGTTGTTTGTTTGTTCTCATGTCTAAAAAGCTGAGACTTTCAAGTCTTTGTAGTTTTTCAGGTTGAGAAACTTAACTATATTTGAGAACATGATCTAGCTGGTTCGTTTCATTTATAAGTTATCACATTTAGCCGTTTAGAAATTAATGCCCCACATATGAAATTCAGTTGGAGTGAGTGAATGCTTCCCACTTCCTCGTTAATACAGTGACATCTTGATCCATCCCTAAGGTATAAACTAGTCCAGTGTTTCATAAAAATCAGTTAGAATAAATAATGCCCAACAGCATTTATAGCAATAGTGGTTTGGTTTGTTACTGTTTTTGTTCAAATAGCTGGATACACATGCAAAGAAAAATCTTGCAGTTTGTTAGTACGAACTCCATATTTCTGTATTTGGGCGATTTTAACCTTAGGAGTCCTGTATTTTCACTATTGTAGTAAACATCAAAATATTGCTATAATTACACGTTAGAGTTGTTAATTGGTATTGGTGGATTGTTTTAGTATCATAATTCAGGAAAATAAACTTAAGTTATTGGTCTCTTAAAGGGAATTGACTTTTTCCCAAGTCTGCTTGCTTGTTGAGTGGTATGGTGCAAGAAAATCTGAGGAAATGTTTTAGACACCATACAAAGTAATGGTAATTCAACATCCATGAAATCACTCTAATTTTGAGCCTAAAATTATATGAAGTTCTAAAGCAAGATAGTCATGGATTTCTGATTACTCAGCTGTAATTGGTAATAGTCATTGTTTGACTGATCTGGAAAGGTTTAGTAGTGATCAAGATTTAAGTTACTTACAGGCATGTTTGAATTATTTGAATCTTAATTTCTCAATGTGGAGACAAAGCAGTGTTCCAGTGAAGTACAATATCAATCATGCCAATATTGATAACTTGATGTTTTATATTGAGTTACGTTAGTTCAGGTTTACTGTAGAAGTGAGGTATGAAAAGAATGAAGGGCTATTTTGTCAATCCTTGGGCTTTTAGACGTGGTCTGCCCTAGCATAGGGGTTTGATAAAAACGCAGGTATATTCTTAGTTTCACTCTTCTTCTACAGTTAGCCACTCCATTCATCAGATCTTTAAAAGAGGAAGAAAAAAAGAGGAAGGATGAAGAAGAGAAGAAAGATGCCTCCCCAGCATCTTGGAGGTCCGGACTTCGCAAGACTGGAAGCTATGGTGCATTGGCTGAAATTAGTGCTTCCAAAGAGGCACAGAAAGAGCGAGATGTTACAGGTGTGATGCGTTCAGCCTCAAGTCCCCGACTCTCATCCACTCTGGATAACAAAGAGAAGGTAATTGTTCGTTGTGCCCATGTCCCAGAAATTTTACAGCGCGGGTGGAGGCCATTCATCTTATCACATGCGCAGTGGCTCTTTGAACAAGAACTTCATTTAGTTCTTGTGTGTTCTTCTATATTTCTGCACTTTGTGAAATTACACTATCCCCCTTTTGAAAACATCAATTGAATCTGTTTCTACCACACTTTAAAGCAGTGCACTCTAGATCATAACTTCTTGCATGTAAAAATGTTACTTTCATATTGTTTTTGTTTCTTTTGCAAGTGAGTTTAAGTCTGTGGCTCTTGTTCTCGATCCCATTATGAGGGGGAGCAGTTTCTTCCCATCTGTTACGTCCAGATGCCACCTGATTTTGAATACTTGAATCAGATGTCCCCTTAACATGTTTAACTCGAAAGGAAACAGCCCTAATTTCTCCAGTGTACATCCATTATGGAGATTCCTTATCCCTGAAACCATTCTTGTATGTCTCTTCACCCTTTGCAATGCCTTTATGTCCTCCAAGTGTAGCACCCAGAATTAGATACTGTACTCTCAGGCTGGACTGTGTCTTGTGCAAGTTCACTATAATCTCTGTAGCTGTGTACTCTGTGCACCTGATAAAGCCAAGGATACTATGCACTTTGACTGCTCCCTCAACCTCTCCTGTCACCTTTAATGATTTCTACAGTTGTGCACCCAGGTCCCTTGGCTCCTCTACCTCTAGATCTGTACCCTTGTTTTAAATTGCTTCTCCATCTTCACCAAAATTAATCACTTCACATCTCGCTGTATTAAACTTTGATTTGGAGACCTGGGTTTGAATCCAGCCATGGCAGATATTGGAATTTGAATTCAGTAAAAATCTGGAATTAAATGTTTAATGGCCACAAATCAATTGTTGAATGTCAGGGGGGAAATAACTCATTTGGTTCACTAACGGACTTTAGGGAAGAAAAATGCCATCCTTACAAGGTCTGGCCTACGTGTCATTCCAGACTGACAGCAATGTGGTTGACTCTGCACTGTCTTCTGGGCAATTAAGGATGGGCAATAAATGCTGGCGAGCCAGTGACACACTTGTCCTGTGAATGAATAACAAATCTTCACCTGTCTGCCCATTCCACCAGCTTCTTTATGTCCTTTTGAAGTTCTTCACTATCCTCCTCAGTTTATAATACCTCCAAGTTGTCCACTATTTGCAAATTTTGAAGTTGTGTGCAGGTCAAGTTCATATATATATCAGGAAAAGACAGCGTTCCGATGCTGATTATTGGAGTACTACAGCACAAAAAAGTTTCATTAATCACTACTGTTTCCTGTCACTTAGCCGGTGTTCCACTGAATGTAGGAATAGACTTTTTTTTATCCAATCAAACAAGGATGTGGATTTGACACTTTCACTACCAAGGAGGGTTCCCAGTCACAAATTGGTCTAAGCAAACTGTATCCCTGACACCACCGCCACCAATCTGGAGTGTGTGTTGTCCCATTAACAAGGCAGACCCAACAGAAATGACACAGGCGTAGATTAATCAGCAATTTTGTCTTGGGGGAACTGAACATTGTCTGCAGGCACCATGAATACTCATGGCTTTGTGCCAAACAGTAACTCTTCGAGACCCCTCTGATAGTACCTTTCAAACCTGTGCCATCTACTACTTTGAAAGGTGGTGACAGCAGGTACATGGGTGCACCACAGTTTGCAAGTTTCCCTGCACGTATCTTAGTCTCCTGGCATGAAACTATGTCAATGCTCCTTTACTGTCGATGTGTCAAATCCTGAACAGCATTGTGAGTGTACTTAGGTGCAAAGAACTGTAGTGGTTCAGCATGAAATACCAGATTGGTAAATGGCTATTGCCTGACTTGGTTAATAATTTGCCATTTTTGTGTGATATCACAGCATTAAAGCCTTCATAGTGTATTCTGTTCAATGGTAGTGTTGATTTGCAATGTGCGTGTTTGTTAAAAATCAGTATAAACAAATGGATGCTTATATCCATTTGTAATAGTGACCACATCTTCATTAAGATGCTGTACCTCATCGTACAGTTTGAGACCTTGTGTGTGTCACTCAGAAGATCTCATTAGCATACTTGATTGAAAGTGCCACATATCAGTTCTTTTGTATTTGAGACCTGTGTAGTGCATCTCCAGGCCTGGTGAATAAACTGCACAAAGGTACTTTGTAATTTCTTTCCTCATTAATCATGTTCTTTGCATGGTGCATTGTAAGTTATTTATTCGAGAGTTGAAGCGTATGAATAGCATAACAATTTGCATTAAAGATGGGGATATCCTCTATTTGAGCCACTGGTAGTCAATGAATTGAAAAGAATAGATTTGATATGAGCAAAATGTACGTGACAAATGAAATTGAAAAATAATGCTGCGAATATTTGGCCTGACAACACATATAGCAAAACAGAGCTTGACTAGCATGAAAACCTTTCCAGTAATTTGTTGAATTGTTTATGCCCTTTTTCTCCATGCCAACAGGACAAAGACCAGAAAGGGGCAAAGCTTGCTTATGTTGTACCTACCATCCCATCCAGAAGATTTGCCAGTACGTCTGACGTTGATGAGAGAGAAATCAGGTAAAATCCTCCTTTTATAAATGTCATCTTTCTTGAGTGTGCCCTTCCTCCCTCTCTTTGTGTACTCAGCTGAGTTGATTGCTTCACAGAGATTCTGCAAGTAACTTAGTACGTAGTGGTTCTTACACACGGCGACGCTGGGAAGAAGATCTGAAGAGGAAAGAAATGAACCATACATCCACCACAGAAGGATCAACTTCGCAAAATGCTGCTGTCACCAGTGTTGTGCCTGGTTATCAGAGGAGGTAAATGAAAATTCTACAGACAATTTGTATTTGTTGGTTAGGGAAACAAGTTCGAGGAAACTAAAGAACTCCTCTCCAGCCCATCCTCATCACAGTCAGTGTTTCTTGATTGTTTTATTGTCCCTATGCATTCAAGTTGGCCCATTATGCATTAATGGTGAGTAAATATGGCCTTAGGGTGTTTTGCCCAGGACTTTGCTTCAGGAGAATTAAGTAATGAATAAGAAAAAATCCAATGCATCCGTTTTCATCCTTGTATATTGAATATTGTAAGTTTTACCACTGTATTGAGAGAGATGACCTTGGAGCCCTACTGTTATCTCTCTAAGTGACGTGGTTGCTTGTTGTGATTAGATACTGGCAAAGTATGGGCAATCAGGCATTCTTGTGCCCTGTTGACAGGCAAGGTATCTAAGTACAGGTAGTGTGTGCAAGATCTGTTGTTTGTGCACTGTTTCTGGGTGCAGTTCCTTTGTCTCTCCCTTTTCCCCTTAATTCTAACACTATCCCAACAAAAGAAAAGGCAGAGAAGGAGTGATCCACCTCTTTTCTTTGGTGTCAGCTTCAAAGGCTTGTCTTTGTTTTGTGCTGCATTTCGCGCTGTGAACAGAAATAGTGTGTCCTTGATTGTTAATTTTTCCCATTTCTGCAATTTTGCTGGTGCTATATAGAAAACTAGACACTGAGGCATATGACAACCTGCCTCTCCATAAGACATGGAGACGTTATCAATGTTCAAATAGAAATGAGATTTGTTCTTGGAACTTGCCAATAGTTGAGACTTTTCTTTTTTAAAGAAAAGTGCTACAGTTTACTCTTCCTTTTGGTCTGCTGTTGTGTTCACGTATATGAAAACAGAGCAGCCACCTTCACCAACAGATCATTGCTATTACCATATATTTATCACCCAAGCATCTGAAAGAATGATGGTTATGAGATATTAGTGTTGCTAAGCCATTTAGTTCTTTAGCAAGGATCTGGCAGATGGAGTACAATGTTGGTAAATATGAGGGCATCCATTTTGGTGAAAGTAATAGCAAAATAGACTGTTATTTAAATGGTGAAAAATTGCAACATGCTGCTGTGCAGAAGGACCTGGATTTCCTTGTGCATGAATCACAAAAGTTGGTTTGCAGGTGCAGCAGGTAATTAAGAAGGCAAATAGAATATTGTCCTTTGCTAGAGGGATGGAGTTTAAAAACAGGGAGGATGTGCTGCAGCTGTATAGGGTGTTGGTGTGGCCACACCTGGAGTACTGTGTGCAGTTTTGGTCTCATTAATTGAGAAAAGGTGTACTGGCAGTGGAGGGCATGCAGAGGAGGTTTACAAGGTTTATTCTGGATTTGAGAGGATTGGCTCATGAGGAGAGACTGAGTAGACTGGGACTATGCTTGTTGGAATTTTGAAGAATGAGGGGGAGTGAAGGGAATAGATAAAACCGAAGCAGGGAGGTTGTTTCCATTGGCAGATGAAACTAGAACAAGGGGACTTAACCTCAAAATAAAGGGGGGCAGATTTAGGGCTGGTTGAGGAGAAACTTCATCCAAAGGGCTATCAGTCTGTGGAATTACTTGCCCAGTGAAGCAATTGAGGCTACCTCATTGAATGTTTTTAAGGCAAAGATAGATGTTTGAACAGTAAAGGGATTCAAGGTTACTTTGAGCAGGCGGGTAAGTAGAGCCAAGTCCATGAAAAGATCAACCATGATCTCAATGAAAGGTAGAGCAGGCTTGAGGGGCCAGATGGCCTATTCCTGCTCCTATTTTTTATGTTACGTTCTTGACAAGGGAATTGGACTGAACCGGGCATCACTGATATGGTGTGCATGTACCAAGAAGAATTTGGTAAAATAGCACAAACAACAGACCTGAACACAGTTAGAAATCATTGTTTAAAAGCGCATATATGTGAAATTGACACAATGATAAGAGGTAAATGAGTGTGAACAGTGATTTTTTTTTTGGACAGGACGAAGATTAAAAGAGGAGTTAACTGGGGTTGGTGTCAGAATCCTGCTGTTCCTGATCAATATTGTTGATTCACGTCTTGGTGTACTGACTAGTATTGCTACATGTGTATGGTGGGAAACTGAAGTATTGTGAACCATCAAGAGTGTGTAGATTGGAATGGGTGGCTGAGTCACGGATTATATTTAATACAAAGAAATACGAAGTGATTTATATTGGTTGGAAGAATGCAGCAAGATGATACAAAATAAAGGGCATACTTAAAGGGACCTGGGTGTTTATGTGGCTAATCATTGAAGTCTGCAGGGCTAGTTGAGAGGTTAATCATGCATTGTCCTGGTGTCACAGAGTACAAAAGCATGAAGGTTTTGTTAAATCGGTATCCAACAGTTGTTCAGCCTGAACTGGAATATTGTATCTAGTTCTATCACCACGCTTTAGGATATGAAGGTGTTAGAGAAGGTGCAGAAAAGAATCGCTAGAAGAGTTCCAGGCATGAGGACTTTTAAGTATGTTGAAAAATTGGTGAATTTCAGACTTTTTTAACTTGGGGAGGAAAATTTGATAGTGTTTTTCAAAACCATGACAGATCTGGATAGTGCAGATAGGGAAAAGCTGCAGGAATTGAGAAGTAGTAAACATTTCTAGTAACTGGGTGAAGAAGTAATGATGACTGAAAAGGCTTTCCTCACGTCAGAGAGGGGGGAACTGGGGAAAAAGAGAAAAGAAGGGCATGGCATAGGTGACCTGCTCCTTCAGACAACCAGCAGAGACTGAAATGCTAAATGGCCCTCCCTTGTGCTGTCACTATTCTATGATTCTTTAATTGCAAAGTATAGTTGTCCAGAGAATTTTTGTCTTTTGCTGTCTAGTCAAACCAAATGTTGCAAACAACTTTGTAGCTTTTGTCATTCATTTAACATTGCTTGTATTTTTAAGAAGTTTCGTTTTGCATTTTAAATTTTGCATGTGGCATGTATTGCTATTGCTTTTATTATATTTTTTCTAATTGTTTTGATGTGCTCTCTTGCTTGGTATGCATGCAGTAATTCGTATCTGCTAGCAATAGGCAGAAGTAACAGTGCCAGAGATCTCCCAACCAGCTCTTCCTCAGCCATCAGCTTGGATTCTACTAATACCAAGCCTAGGCAACCATCTTCAACTCAGTACTCATCTTACAGCGTCTACAAAAGGTATAACATTGAGCTATTTGAAAAGACCATCACCTTAGTTTGGCTAGAGAATGCTCCTCTTCTGTGTGCTTCACATTCACCCTTGGTGCATGTTGTATGTATGTGTGTATGTCTGTACGTTATTGTGTTTAGTCATATTATAACTGAGGTATAACTTTCTATTAAGAATAAAATCTGGATACATTAATTTGTGGTGGGATAACTTCACTATTACTACATAAATTCTAATATCTTAAGTCCTGCCTTCAAAACAAAAGCCTGGAAACAGGTTTTGCCCCCATATGAAAACTGCGAAGCATGGTTAATGTATCAGATGTAGATCCTTCTGCTTTGTTGAAGGGATTGTAACCAAACAGTGACTTGATTCCACCCCAACCTTCTAACCCAGTATTTTTTGAGAATTAATTTTCAGTGTTCTGGTGTTTTATAGTCTGTTGTATCTGTTAAAATTTTGTTTGTGGATGGCCTTGATTTATGTCTTTGCCAGGGGCAGCTTTTGATAGTTGTGATTCATGGGAAAGAGAGAATTTGTTAAACTGTCTTGACCTTTTGTACAAGAAGCTGCCATGAGTCAGATATAACCTTGCCAATAATTTGTTTGATTTATTTTGCATTTCCATTGCAATTTTGCATCGTAGTCATCACTGTGGTCAGTATGCTGACAGAAGTGTGTCTCTATCACCTACGGCCCATATTATAATTTTCGCACAGCTGCTGAATTGTCCTCTTGCTAACCATTGCTTTCAAAAGGAAAATGGTTTAATTTAATCCATGAAGGGAGGAACTGAGGTCTGAGTGTGGGCAAACAACAGGGGAATAGGACCCGGAAAATCACTGACAAAGAGCTAGTACAGGCAAGTTGAGATAAATGGCGTCATTCTGTGCTACACCATTCTTTAATTCTATGTAAGTTAAGAGGCATTTTAATATGCATGTTCTGGCTTCTGTCCATGTGTTTATATCTTTGGAGTTTGAGTATCCCTAGAACCTAAACTCCTGGGTACAGTGCTTGAAGGAAATCTAGTTAAGATATTGTCTTAATATCCCAAAGAAACTCCTTTTTCCATCCCTTTAAATTAATGCATGGGATGGAGGTCTGTCTGTCTAGAGATAATCAAAGCTCTCAGCCCGTTACTTTTCTTTCTACCATACCATGGTGTACAGGAACAGGCAAATCTGCCCCAGTGATGTTTCTTGTACAGGTAATCCTTGTTGCACACTCAGTTTCAAGTTTCATTGTTGCATACTTCTTTTCTCACTGTATTTGCTGCAGGGGCTTGCAGAAAAATATGAACTGTTCTGGAGTGTAAACTCCAAATCGATTGACAAATTTTTTGATCAATTTGTTTTGGTCATCTGCCAATTGCTTGTGTCTTCCAAACATTGGATTGCTGGCTCTCCTCTGTGTTCAGTTTTCATGTTTGAGTGACCTTTTTAAAAACTTGCAATTTGTGTTGGATCTTTATCAAGCAAGAAGCATTTTCTGACTGTTTTACAAACTACATGTTGAACTTGTTATACTCTGTCCTTGTTACAAAATATTTTGAATGAAATTAATTTGCTCAAACCCATTTTGAGCTTTAATTTTAAAACCCCTTCATTGTAGGTTTACCAAACTTCAGCTTCCTTTCCTCTTGGCACCTATTCCTTTTGTTAAATGGACAGCTTGAAGGGAAATTAATATCTACCTGTCAACTGCTGTTTTAAATATTGGGATTGCAAAAGTTTTAGGGCTTGCTTTTCCAGTGTCATGCAAAGTAATCAAACTGCAACATCAAGAATATGTTCCAAGGATAACATTTTAATACCCATAACGTAGGTTTGAAAACAAAGCCTAATATTGAAGATCAAAAATGTTACGCTGGTACATTTCCATATGTGATTTTGTTGAATGTGTTTGACTCTGAAACTTTTCCATAACTACCTCGCAGTCTTTATTTCTCACGGACTATCCATTGTTTACTCTTTTGGTCAAATTATTTCCCTAGTGTTGTGGAAAGTTGGACTTCAGTAACTGCTCATAGCCTAAAACCTGAATGCAGTAAAAACTCTTGCCAAACTTTGAAGACTGAAAGCTTCAACTGAAAACAAACAAAAAGAATCTGTTCATTTGCTGATTTCTGTGTTTAAGCTGCCCTTCTGAAACATGTATGGGCTTGGAAAAGTTTTAAATTAAAATTCTTCTGAATCTGTTTCCAATTCAAAATGGTTCCCAAAGAATAATAAATTATTCCCACTGGGACAGACTGAAACACAATTGTGCAAGCTTTTTCGTAAAACTTCAGATAGGCACAGTTCTTGGCTCAATTTGTTGTGCAGAATTTACTTGAATATTGTGTACAGCTTGAAATGTGTTTCTGTACCATTCTGTCGATTAAGTTGGTGTGCTTCTGGAATCTTGTAAACATTGCTGATGAGTACCATTGTGCATGTGTGTGCATGAGACCAACAATATCCTTTAAACCACCCTGCCTAACTGGAAGGCAAGAAAGAATTTTGGATTTCTGATTATTATCTTTCATTTTTTTTTTTAAAAAAGTAAAAGTGATTTTTCCATTTGGGACAAGGTGATCCCTTTCATATCTATTTTTGTATTTTTAAAAAAAGTTAAAGCATGGAATATAATGTGTAGACTTTTCACCAATCGTTCTGTTTATTGACACATTTAATTGTCAGGAAGAATTTCAAAATGTTACTTGAAAGTATAATTACCCTTAAAGTCCATATTTGACATTGTGGTGACATTGCAATGTGCTTTTAATGATCCTTTGTCCTCACTTTGCCTTTCCCTTCAGTAGTTCTTTTGGTAGAAGGAAAGAGGATTTGATCAGTCCTGTTCAAAGTGCCATTTCAACCAATGCCATTGCAACCATTACCTCATCAAGCAGCCTGCAACCTATTCCCAGGAGCACTGCATCCACTTCATCTGGCAGGTAAAGCAAATTAACTGCAGAGCTTTAATGGGGTGGTTTTTGTTTAGTTATTTTTATTCCTCTTTTATGTTGTATGTTTTCTTTCCTTTGTATGTCTTAAGGATACCAAATTTATACATGCAATTGTCATTTGTAAAAAAAATAAAAACAAGAATCAAAATAGCCTCTTTGCTAGCCAAAATTTTGATATTTGATCATTGGCTGGTGTCACTTCAGATGCACATTGGAATCATTGACTCAAAGATTACTTTCTTGTCTCTGGACCCTAATTCACTCCAAGTTTTGAAAATTATTTGAAGAGTTATTAGCTCCCATGAGCAAAGCTGGCGAAGTTGAGCTTGCTGCCCTCGCTTGTAGCCCAAGGAGAGGAAACCCACCCGAGGTGCTGTTAGGAAGGAAATTTTGGGATTTTGGCCCAGTGATGGGAATAAAGATTACAGTCCAAGTCAAGATAATGTGCAGCTTGAAGGGGAACTTGCAGGTGATGGTGGTTTTCCCATTTATCTGTTTGGCCTTCTAGATGACAGCAGTTGTAGGTTTGGAAGGTCCTGTTAGGTAATCCTTCGTGAGTTGCAGAAGTGCACCTTGTACCCAGGGCACACTGGGGATTGTGTGAGTGTTGACGATCATAACGAGGGTGTCGATCAAGTCTTGAGTGGGAATAATGAGGATGCAGCTTGAGAGGTAATGCTCCGGTATCTTATTCACAAGTACGATACAGTTGATAAGGGATTGTTGCACTTTATTATCTGTTGGAATGATTTGTATCCTGATGCTAGTGTCCTTGTGATTCTCTTGATGTGAAATGTTTTGAATTGTATGGGAAATTACATTATACTTGTGTTTCTTCTGATGCTGTTGCGTAACTTGTTGAAATCAAAAGTGACTTGTAACGAAAGGGCAAGTAAAATCTGACATGATCAATGGCAACGAGGTTCCAGTGCCACTGCAAACAGCACAAGGGCTGAACTATATTAACTGTTCCTTACAAGTGTGCAAACATCAAATATTTCAGTCCAGACCAGGAAGCTGAGCATATCTAAACTTGACTCTCAAAATACTTTCAGGAATAATGTTACAGTAAAATGTTAGAAAAAGATCAGTGGATCCATCTGAAGTTGAAGAGACAAAAGATGGGCTAACATGTAAGATGTAGATCTATCTTTGGTACTGGTGAGAAGTTTGAAGCTGAAAAGAAAATCTTTTTTGTGTTGCTACATCTGTTGTATGTCCAGCACTTGTTTTGCAAGCTCCATGCTCCATTTTTTTCATTTTCTACCCTCGCCAATCCAGAAGGGAAGGTAATCTAATGTGTCAACAACTTTAAAATACATCATACCCATCCTCAGACTGGTTTATTTCTTTACAAAACAAAACAAATTGACTCCCAGATGGTCCCAACATTCTAGTCAGCCAAAGTCTGAAACAATTAAGTTGCATGTTAGACTGCAGAGACAACCTTGACTCGAGAAATTAAAACTCTTGAGACAAAGGCATTAATTGTTGTTTTTAACCTGTAAAACCAATCCTTGAGTCATACAGAATTTCTTAAAAATTGATTTTGGCTGATTTTATTTTCATGTTTGTTGTGCTTTGCTTATTTCTTGTTTGTGTTGCTGCTTGATTATGCCGTAGTACCTCAAATCGGTTCTCGACGGGGGACAATGCAGAAAGAGAGAAAGAAAATGTTCCTTCAACGGTTACTACAACTGGCACTGTCTCTTCAACAGCAGAGATCAGGGAGAGACGCAGGTGTGTAGTCTTCCTGATAGTGTTGATGCACCTTCAGGAAGGTGGCTCTTAATTTTGTTTTAGAACCTTCAAAATCTTAAACTTTGGATCCAGCATGAATTTCAAACAGTCAATTTCAAGATTCTCATGTTGTGCCATGGCTCCTAAATGTGTACTGTCCAGATTTCCACTACTTTTATTCAACTGGTGTTGGTGTTTTTTGCTTGTTTCTTTGTGTGTTGGGCAGACTACTAAATGCAGCTGGTGAAAAAGAATGGATTGAATAATGTTAGTTCAACTTATTATGCAGGTATTTAACATGCGTCATAATTAGGGTAACTCAGACAGCTGGTGATGCTTTGGGGACAGATATCAGGTCTGACTTAAAACAATTCTTCAAGTTAAATTATTGAATTTAATTCTTCAGCAAAAGTAGTATAGAAAGGGAAAATGCTGCTCAGAATATGTATTATATTAATAGACTAAGATTGCCTGTGGAAATAGGATTTGGTTTGCTCTTAGGTTGGATGACTGTTGCCACTGGTGCTCTTTCATAATAACTGAGCCAAGTTAGGTGGTGATATCTGACCACTGTTTAAATCAGTTTTATTTGGCCACGCTTGTGAATTCGTGCAGGCACAGAATCCTGAATTACAGTTGTAATTATTGAAACGTCAAGATATTCTAGAGTTCAGGAAATATGATCTGCTCTGAGCTTTCCATGGTAATTTTTGCTATTTTAGTTTCTTGTTAATTCTATTTTTGACATCCTCCAAAATAGACTTGTAGTAAGTCAAAGCAAACAAACTTATTTCTTTAACCCCTTTCTCAAGCTTGGTGACAAAACACTTCACTGTTGCAATGTAGGAAAATGTGGTCAACAATTTGCACATGACCAGGCCCCATAAGTTAGTGGCACAATGATCTGATAATCAGCGATAGGAATAATTCATTAGCTGTTCATTTATTGTTCTGACAATAGCTGTGGGCAGCCATTATGATAAAAATGTTGGAGATTCTTTGTTTTTCTTCAACTTTTTTCAGAGTAAGGTGCAAATGGGAGTGTAGAAATACCTGAGGAGAATGCGTAAAAGAGTTGGAGCTACATGTGCTAATTGGTAGCAGTAAAAGTAAAAAGCAAATTTTAAGTACTTTCCGTCCAAGAATACCATAGAAAATACAGGCTTTAGCCATATTTATCAAATGAATTTTGTGTCTGTGCTTGTAGGTGGCAAATGTTACAGTTCTGTTCAGGTAAGGAGATAAACCAGGAAACTATAGACTTGATTTATTCTAGCCCATGTGTGTTAACTACTGTAGCTCTGTGGAAAGAAATGAGCAAATATTTAGTCTTAGACTAATGAGAGATGAATAAACTCCCTGGCATGCTTGACCAATTTAGTTGCATCTTCTGCAACATTTGCAATGTTTGATGAAAAGAATATGGTGAATATTGTATGTCTTGTTCTTCAGAAGTTATGTACATTAAATTCAAGGCAATGCAAATGCCAAAATTTAGAGGAACCTAAGGGACAAATACAAATGCTAATCTATTTTCTAAGAACAGAGCCATGGAGGACTTTGTGTAAATACCTGAATTTTCAATAATATCGATGCTCTTCAGCAATTTCCAAGAGTTAGGCCAAACTCAGTGCCAGGATTGTTAGTCACATTTAGCGTTGACACAGTTTAGAAAAGGTTACACTTGACATGAACTGACTTCATAGATGATTTTGGTATTTCTGTGGAAGCATCCATTAAATGTTGATCAGTACAATGGTCACAAATTCGTAATGGACAAAATAATTTGAGAACTTCATTGATTCATCATTCTGTCTTTAGTGCAGCAACTTTGGCATTTGTATGTTTGCAATAAAGTGCTTTGGCATTTGTATTTTTATCTTGTCTGTTTAAACTGAGAAATGGGTAGATTGGTTAAGTAATTTCCTCAGTTTATGAACCAATTGGAATTTTTGCCTTACACTTTTTTTTTGTTTTAGTTCCCCTCTCTGAGCCTCAACCGCTTGTTCCTGTTGTTCTCTCAATTGTTCTCTTTTCCCTTTTTCTTTCCCTCTGTTTCCCACTTCCTCTCCTCTTCTTTGTTCTCCTCTTCTTTTGAAAATCTAGACTGCAGTTTATTACAAACCAGTAATTTACTGTTTTAAATTTTCACCAAAACTCAATTTTTTCCCATCAGACTGTTGGTTCCTTTCGAGATTCGGTGAGCCGAACACCTGCATGCTTTTGTGGCCATTAATACTAGCGTGTGATTTTTGAAGAGTTGGACTTTCAGAATGTAACCAAAAATTTAGGCTTAATTGTCCAAAACTTCTGATATAAAGGGAAAGCAATTGGCATGATTATAAGCTTTTCTTTTCATTAAGTTTGAGCAATGCATTTAAATTTGTGATTTGATTAGATGTTGGGGACTACCATAAGAATGACACGTTCTAAGTTATCACATTTTTAATAGAATTGGTATTAACTATTTGAATTGAGCACTTGCAGTTTGAAGTGGAATCAGGCTGTGTTCTGTGTTAACTTCTCATTAAACACCTTGAATTATGGGTTGGTATGGAAAACCCAGGGGAGAAACATGCTAATTATGGCAGAAATTAGCATGATCATAGAGTTCCATTAAAACATCTATCTTGCCACAGTATTTGCATCTCATTGCTTAACGTTCAAATGTCTTATTTATGTCTATCTTGAATTTACTCTGCGTATCTACAGTTCTCTGGAGTGAAGAATTCCAATGATACTTAACGTAGAGGATTTTTTCTTTCTCTTACCTAGCTTCAATTGCTGATTTCTTTTGACCTCATGTTGCTGATTATCCAGCCAAGATTCCTCCCAGGACCCATGTTTCATGCAATTTCCCTTGCTGTTGATAGCCAGTCTGTTACACTGTATGGTCCCTTGAAGTTTCTGTGTAAGATCTCATCTTTAAAGGGACGACTTCTTACGTGTGGCCCATTTGTTTCCTATACAGTAAGTTCTAGCCAACTTAAAAGGAATGTTTCAGTGAGACCACATTAATACTTCGTAATTCTAATCTTTTTGGGCCCATAGTATTCACGTTTCCTTTTAGGACAATCCCCTCAGCCCAAAAGCAGACAGTTGAGACTTTGCACTTTCTTCAAGGCTAGTAATCCTGTCTCTGGGTAGAGATGCCACACCTCTGTCAAACTATTTCTAAGTAAGTTCTTTTATAATAGCAGTAAGACTTCCTCCATCTGGACATTATATTTTCCTTTTACTGTAAAGGGAATGCAACCATTTGATTTCCTGGTTGTTTGCCATATCTACCCATTCCCTTTGTGATTTGTGTGCAAGGAGACTCTAGTCTTGCTGAAGACCAGCGTTTCCCATTCTGACAAGCTGGAGGCTAGAAGAATACAGCAAGCCAGGCAGCGTTTGGAAGAAAGGAGCAGTCAACATTTTTGGGTGTTACCTGAAGAAAGGTGATATCTGAAATGCTGACTGTTCCTTTGCTCCAGATGCTGTCTGGCTTGCTGTGTTCTTCCAGCCTTCTGTTTGTCTATCTTGGATTCCAGCATCTGCAGTTATTTTTTTTGTCTCATTTTCCAGTCTCTGCAGTTTAATGGATCAACTGGAACAGGTTACAATAAAACTAATGCAATTTTTATAGTAATTTCTAACAATTTAATAGTTTGTTCAAGGAAGGGTTAAGTTTGTCCAGGACTGTTTTGCTTCTGGATGTTGAATCATTGAAACAATGGTGAATGATGAACATCTCACAAAAACATAATTGCACAAAATTAATGTTAATGCCTTACCTAAGTTGAGTATGAACACACAGCGTGGCTGCTGGTGTCAGTGAAGCCGTGCCACGGCTGGAGTTACTGATGTTGGGTGAAATTGAAGGCAGCATCTGGATGCGAGGGTAGCAACCATAAACTAAACTTCTTCACTCCAGCTACAAGTTGTAAGTCTGAATACGTGGTTAACGATCATGTCGGAAAAGTGAACACTGGAGCTGAATGGGGAGCTTAAAGCAATTATTTTGAAAACAATATGCTCACAAGATCCATTTTTTATGGTAATGAATTATAATTTAAAATATATATGTTAATGCTTCAAATTAGGAGACATTTGTCATCCTTAATGTGTGTATGTGATTTTGGTTATATTAAAATTCATTAACTTTTCAGATGGGATTTGTTTCAGATATTGCGAGTATTGCACCTTGGAGTTGTTAAACTGGTTTTCATGTGGTCTTGAACTTGTGATGTTATCCAGCTGAATCATGAGAAGATAATATATATTGTAGACTACCATTTATGTGGTCTGTTTAAAGGTGCTTTACAGAATCAAATGAATGCCTGGCTAGTTTTAAGAGAACTGAAAAGGTGTTGTTACATGGTTCACATTATGGGTTTTGATAGCCATAAGAAGATTAGTGTTCCATGTATGGAGCTCTCAAATTTCTGAAGACAATTAACAAAGGTGTGGAATGGAGGAAGATGAAATCAAGTAAGTTTTGGTTGTGCATATGTCCAGGGACTTGCAAGGTGGTTTTGAGATAGGATGGAAATAAGACAGGAAGAATCTGTAAATGAGAAGAGCTGTTAGCTTAGACTTTAAGAAATGGACAGCTATCGGAAATTATCATCGGTATAACAGAGCAGGAGTAGGCCATGTGGCCCGTTCAAGCTTTCTCTGCCATTCAGTAAGATAGGAGCAATAGCATAGGTACGTGAGACGAGTTTGGAAAAGCGTGGAAAATAGGAGCACTCTGGAGAAACGAGTAGGTCATGAAGCCACGGATGCGTTGTACAGGCTCGGCTGTAGAACTTGAAGCAGATGACTTTGATTAGCGACATTGAAATTTAGTTCTAGACTCTACGTACTTCAGCCTGAGTGAACAGCACGGGAGGAGAACCAAGTAAAGAACTTTGCTCAGTTTTTACTGGGAGCCCAGCAAATGACATCAGTTCTGTTTTAACTGTACCTTAAAATTAGACAGGAAATGGGGCAATGTCAGTTCACAGACTTGA